AAGCAGTAATTAAAATCTGTCAACACATTCCTGTGATTAAATGTGTTTTAACACAGTGAGGTGATTGAGAATCCAAATTTACTGCCTACAATTTACACGTTTTACAGTAGTTGTAAAATGGTGATACCTTAGCAGTGGCAGACTGTGGAAAGAACCACCTGGGTGTTTCAAATTGATTTATCTATATATATATATATTTCTACATTGGTCATATTTTTTAATATTGGTGAAGAAATAGGAAATTTAGAAGACGGACAATAAAGTGTCAGCATGAGGTCATTTTCATACTTGTGAAGCCAATTAACGCGCAGTTCCTCGTGACAGTATGTGACACTGGAGTACAGGACAATTCCGTGTTCGGTACTGAGGACTTTGATTTCAGTGGAGGAGTTAGCTGAAAGAAAAGGACAGAAATTAATTCACTGTAATATTTCATGGTGACAAACATATTTGACTAAGGAACATTTAGCTCCTGTGTGTGTTTTTCTGTGTGCCCTTCTTTAATTGAGGGTACAATCCACTCACCAATGACTCTGAACAGCTCATTCATCACAGTTTGGTATCCTGAAAATCAATAAATGTCATATTAACTTTAGTTTGAGGAACAATCAGCAGAGACTCCAACCTCACCATCAATTAAAAGTTCCACTTTACCTGCGTCTGTCAGATTAAAGACGCTCTTATCTTTGCCTCTGTCATCACTCAGGTAGACCTCATAAATGCCCACATCACTCTTGGAGATCTAGAGTTTGAAATAAACTTATATTTAGTGTACTATAAGGTGACATCACACCCCCCTGTTTTCCAAAAAAAAAAACCAATGTAGTGTCATTAATTTGGTTGAACAACAGACATGTACAGAGCCAGACAGAGACAAGCTAATGGAGAAGCAAAGCTTTTCCCCTGCTCAGAATGCTGCAGGTGTTACACACAAACATGACAATGGTCAGATGAAGAGAACATGGAATGGAAAAGTTAGAGGCGACAACTTATAGAAGCAAAGCTTATGTCCAGACTTTGGATCTTGGCGGCGGGGGCACGTCATCTGCAGGTGGCTTTTTATCTTCATTTTCTGCCTGTTTCTCTTGTTTTAATACCCACTGTGAATTAGACAGATAAGCCGGTTAATGCAAGTGCAAATTGAACGGAGAGGTGACGAGGAGACCACCTCCCCTGAGCTCATGCAACGACACCAACCCTCTCTTTGTCACTATGAATTTGGGTAGAGTTAAAAAATGAATGAATGGATGAACAAATGAATGAATGAATGAATACATGGATGAATGAATGAACCACACAGAAGAGCCACAGAATATGCTGCACCTCTGTTACACTGCTATCAAACCTGCGATGTTAAAATTACACAGGTTTTAAAATAGAGCTTGTATGTCTATTCTGGTTTTCCCACAATAACACGGTGATGTGCTGAGTCTAGCAGCACTCCTTCACGACCCAAGGCTATAAATATGTTTTAAAGGTTTTTTTTCACACTTCTGTGTGGCAGAGAGGGATGGGTGGCAGTGGAGCATCGATTCTGCTTCTAACATGGAAGCACAGCAGCGCCAGACACATCACTTCTAGCTCATGAACTCATAAGCTGACGACTTCTCACAAAAAATGGCCTGCGTCTAATGGGCTGACCTTTCCGATATTAAAGGTCAAGTCTCCGTCGTGTTTCTGGATTTTCTTAGCATCCTCATCGCCCTCCGCAATCTCATTGCTGTCTTTAGCCCAGGTGATCTCAGTCTCGGGTCTGACATTTCCTATCTGTGGAGCAGAAGGAGACGGATGAGGATAAGTTGCCTTGATTACATTTCAGCTCCGTGTGACGCTTCTCTATGTGAACTTAAGTGTCCAGAATTGGTTACGTTTCTTACCTTGCATTTCAACAGCACATCACATTCTTGAGTCACGGCAAAGTCAAGGTACTCAACAAAGTGAGGACCTGGATGTAGAAAGTACATTAGAAAATAATCAGACAGATCCATTAAAAAGATTAAAAATCTGACTTTGTCTTTAGGAAATGTGATAAAAAAAATCTCTGACCTTGTTTCCTGACCCATTCTGCTCTTTCAAACTCTGACTTCTTTTGAAGCGCCCTGAATTCTGGAGGTCAAAGTAAAGGGAGCAGTTACACAATAAATTCTGTATTTCAACCTTTTATTTTTAATTATTAAAACGTGCATCAGGCAATGTATCAAAAGTATGACGTGAAGGAGTGAAAAAAGTTGTCCTCTGCTGCCCCTCAATGGACATTCACTTAAACTGCAGCAAATGAATGGCAGTCAATAAAATAAAATAATAAAATAAATAAAATAAAATAAAATAAAATTACCATCTCCAATCAGCACCAGACTGGTTGTGCCCTTTGCCTTCCCGTCCACTAAGTTAAATGTGAACGTTCCCTCATCAGTGACCTCCAGAGAGTCCATGAACATTTCAATGATGCCGGTGGACTTGTCAAAGTTCATTGTGTATTTCTAGCAGAAACAAAGGCAACAGTTTATCACTTGTAAGTTAAATAGTAAAGAGTGTTTGGCCCATGTGTGAATTGAAAACCCAACAGAAACAACAGGGTATTAAAAAATAAATTATTCCTACCTTTCCCTGAGTAATAATGACATCATTAAACACGTACTCCACTTCACAGGCAGGCGTCCATTTTTCCACTTGGGTCCAGAATCGCACACGACCTTTCTCGAGCAACTCCATGGCCATTTGACTCGCAAAGGGAATAACTGGAGGACACAGCAGTGTCATTACAGAGTTTTTAACCAGAGACAAGGACATTAAAAATGACTTAAATAGGAAAAAACATTTAATAATATCTGAAACACAGTTAGGTTGCAACACTGATTTTTAGTATTTACCGGGGAACTTGTGGTCATGGCTGATGTCCAGGAGACGTAAAAGACCTGTGGAACATTAGGACAGAAAAAAACATTTCTGTAAACAATTCTAACCTGCTAAACTAAGCTGCTCACTTCACTGTTTTAATGCATTTAAAAATATATAATTTATGTATAAAATATATATAAAGTTAAGTCCCCTCCTCTTGTCAGTATTCGAACACAGAGTCAATCTGGGGGCAATCGCACAGGCAGCTGACTCACCCTCCTCAGTGAGTGTGTAGCTGGATGAAATGCCATCAGTGTTGGTGACCACACAGGAGTAAGTTCCCAGATCGTCCAGAGATGGACTGTTGAAAATAGCTCTTGTCCTGGAGACACAAACATCAAGGATAAGACAGAAGGCTCTAATAACAGAAGGCCATGAAGGCAGCTGCGTGAAGAATCGGGCAAATATAACAACGTTATACAAACCTGCCCTTTTCCTGGACAATAGTCAGACGTGAGGTGTCTGTGATGGCCTGGTAATTCTTCGACCAGATGAACTCGGAGCCTTCACTCATCTCAGAGCATTCAAAGATCATAGAAATGATGCCGTCGTCGTCGACGTCCACATAGATCTCTTTGGTGCCTGAATGAGGCAAAAAATGAAAACTGTGTTTATTTTGTGTGTGTGATTGTCCAGTTATGCAGTGTACTGTAACTGTAAATGTATGTAACATACAAACATGTGGTTCTAACAAGACTCTGACTCCCACTCACCAGGGCGGGTCTGGGCCAGGACTGGACCCAGGACTGCAGAAGCTTTTCCAACTCCAGCAAGATTTTGAGCACGCGCACGGAAAACATAAGACGTCCCGCCATTCAGTCCAGTGACCTGAATGAGGACAAACAGAGTAGGAGGGACAGTCAGTCACACAAACACCAATTCTCCCCTCATTGAAATGCATGTGAGGTGGGGAATGTTCAGAGCACCACTCGCCTTTATGTACTTGTTCCTGTTGACCTTCTCATGGACAGCCTTCCAGCCCTCATCTCCAGCAGAGGCTTCCTTGACGTCCAAATAGTATCCGTTGACAGGAGTGCGTCCATTGAATGCAGGTGGATCCCACAGGACCACAGCAGAGGAGTCACGCACCTCCTGGACACGGAGACCAACAGGAACACCTTGGAGGTTGAAACAAGAAAGGGAAATGTCACATGATAAGGTGAAACACGTAAACTAGAATCCATTAGGACGACACCCAACCATAAGGTTGAGAGCAAACATCGTGATACACTTTTCACATTAGGACGACACCCAACCATAAGGTTTAAAATGTCAGTTTAAATGTGTGGTTGAGAATTCTTCCGACCTGGAACAGTGATGGTATACTCCTTGCACTCCAGAGGAGCACTCGGCACAGAGGCTTTGCTCACACCAGCCATGTTCATAGCCCGCACTTGGAACTCGTAGAAAACATTCTCCTTTAGGTTCTCAGCCTATGATAGGGAAATGAAGACAGTCGGAAAAAAAAACAACCTGTGACTACATATTCATACTCCTGATATATTCAAGTATATTTGTCATATGATAGAAGTGTTTTAATGCTAACTCTTAGTTGAACTATATTTACTTTATAAGAGGTCGTGGTCAATGCCTGGTGGTTCAGTTCATGCCATTTCCCAACAACGTTTCCCTTCACAGTCCTGTAGTCCACAAAGTATCCCCTGATGGCACCACCTCCATCGGTAGCTGGCTCGGTCCAGCCCACCACCATGTAGTCTCTGACCGCCTCCAGTAGGGTCACACCAGTGGGTTTTCCCGGGACCGCTAAAAATCAAATATAAAAGCGACAAAACAATGCGTTGTATTTTGAGAAGGTCTAAAAGAAAAGTGTTAAAAGAAGGTTATTTCCATTCAGCACACATTTATGTGTAATTCCCATAAAGAAACAACTCATTCACATTCGTTATCCCATAATTAGCAAAATCACAACAAAAAACCCCAACAGTCACGTCACAGTTAGACATCCTACAGTTAGACTGCCACGTACTTCTCACACAAAAGCAACACGAAACTCATTAAACTGGATATTGTGCTGTACTTACGCCAAGAATTAGAAGCAGGGTAACTTTGTTGCCAGAAGAAACCCTCATTAGGTTAATGCTCTTTAAGAACACAATAATCTAGACTTCACCATGGCCATGCACCAAGAGGCAATCCTGAGGAGCTGTCACGTAGCAAAAATTAATCTCGGGCAAAATCAAGTTTATACATTAAACAAACATCGAAAGGAAGCATTGACACTAATGATGATGTCATGCATACATGTGACTATGCATGAGAGCCGGAACAAAAGTGCAGTGTTAGCGATGATAAACATGCCAGTGTGAGTAGTTGTAGGTACAGATGTACAGTTTCTGTGTGAATTGTGTAACAGCACAAAATATTTTGGCCAGACTAAAGTTATATGTGGATGTAAAGTAGCAGAGAGTAAGGATTTAAATATGTTTTTAATTAGGTGGAGGGTAAGTGTAGAGAATGGAAGGTGAAGATGGATGAAGTTAAAGAATTTTAATGGTTAAGAAACAAAAGAGCAGAGAGCTACAGGTGGTGTGTGTGGGTGTGTGTGTGTGTGTGAACTAAGTATCTGGATTTTAAATGTGTCCTCTCAGCAGCCATTCTAGGGATAAAGAGATATTGAACACTGGACAGAGAGAGAATGGATAGAATGCTGCAGGCAAAGTGAAGAATGGAATGGAGTTATAATGAGGACACTCACAGATGGCGGCCTGTACGACCACTGCATCAGAATCAGAAGAATTCTGGCTGTATCCGGCAGCATTGATAGCCTTCACCCTGAATACATATTTCTCTCCGGAGGTCAGACCGTGACACACAAACCTAAGGACAGAGAAACGTTAATGAGACTCATTAGTTTTAATTCAGAGTTTAACATTTCACCACAGGAGCAGCAGGAGAAATCATTTGGCCCAAAAAAAGTTCATTGCTCACAAGCTTAAGTAAATTGTGTTTTGGAGTTGTTTTATTCAACCGTACTGTCAATATTTAAACAACCTACCTGGTCTGTTTGACAGGTTTGTTGTTGCACGGCATCCAGACGTCTGTGCCCACAACACTGCATTCAGTATAGTAGCCAACAAGGTTGGTGGCTTCCTTTGAGGCTCCCCAGATGACGACCACTGAGGTGGCGGTGTTCCTGATGGCTACAGGACTGCTTGGAGCAGAGGGCAGGTCTGCCGAGGCAAAGTCGTGAGGAAAAAGAAAAATGATGAGCTTTAAAATAATACTAGTAATGAGTAGATGTATAGAGAAAACATACATACATATATAAGCATACACACATATACTGTGTATATATGAAAATTTAAGAAGATATAAAAAAAGCCTTTGCAATGCAATTTAATGACCAGTTAGACGAGTCTATCTGTGGCAGGTAGAGTCAAAAGATCAAGATAACAACAGACAGTTCTCAGTAGATGTCAGTCAACAGTTGTGAAACAGGAGCTGCCAGAAGTCTGTCAACAAGTAGAGTTTATAATAAGACTTGTTGAAAAAAGTTGTACTTTGCTAGCAGCGCTCTGCTGTGCGGCCTCTCTTTACCAAGACTGGAGGCCCAGCAGGCTCCAGGTGATTTAACATTTAGACCTCCGCATTAGAGCGTGTATAACACATAGTCCAATCCGACAGACTGCAATCTCCTACCGCTGATGTGAATGCACAACCTGCTGGCTCACCTAGTTTATCTCCAACAATGATTTCTCCTGTGGATACAGAGGCTTCGCCCACGCCGGCAGAGTTGCAGCAGCGCACGCGGAAACTGTAGGATTTACCCTCCGCCAGGTCAAACAAAGCAAAGCGAGGAGACTTGACTGGCATGCCAGTGTTCACCCTCTGCCAAGAGTCTGTTCCTGAAATACACTGAGGTTGACAAAGAGCCAGAGAGATGTCAGGGTGACAGAGAGAACGCTAACAGAGGTACTGTAATCATTTTACTTGTTGGGTTTTGTTGCAGGTAAAGGGAGTTTTCTTAATATAAAAGTACTGTATTTGTGCTTCCTTTCTCCTCACCTTCTCAATGTAATACATGACCCCTTCATGACCTCTCTGGATTGGGGGTTTCCAGGCGAGAACCACGTAGCTCTTTGTTGCCTCAGTTACTACAACGTCAGAAGGCTCTCCAGGGACAATACCCACTGTAGAGGCAGAAGGATGGATATACTTCAACCTGGAGCAGCTACAGTAGCAGCAGGAAGTCATACATTCTATTTTCATTCATTGAGATAAGGTTTTTAAATAGGGATTCTTACAGATGTTACATAGTTATGCTAATAATGGGCCAATAATATCGGAGGTTTAGCAGTTCCATACCTGTGGGATCTTCTTCTGTAAACTTGATCATTCCAGTCCAGGGAGCTAAGGGTCCAGCTGAGGGGGTGGGAGTGAGAGGGGGGGGGCGCATAGGTAAGTCTATTAATTTACACAGTTGTTTTTTTTTTAACACTCTTAGTTTGCCTCTCACCTCTAAGACGAGCTCTGTCAGAGGGATCCATGGCAACCACAGTGTCAGAGACACGAGATGCACGGCTGACTCCCACCCTGTTCACGGCCCGGACCCTGAAGACATATGAACGCCCCTCCACCAGCCCGGTGACAGGGAAACGGGCGTACTTCACCGGGGTGTCATTGCACTGAGCCCAGTGATGGGTGCCCACCTCGCACCTGACAACACAAAACACCCACGTACACACTGACACGTTTGACGTAATGCTCATTGACTTGTGCATTAATTACAGCGGTCCTCCGACTCACGAAGGCCTTGATGACAGGCAGCGTGCACTGATTTAATTAACTGCTCATTATTCATCCTACCTTCCCACGCATTTATAATTGACTGGTGGTAGAAATGCCATCGGTCTGTGATGAAAACTTGGGGAAAACGGTAATTGTGTCTCAAAGTACAGATTAAAAGTTGACCAACCTGTCGATGAAGTATCCCAGGATGGAGCTGCCGCCCTCCACTGCTGGCTGCTTCCAGGTCACCACCACGTAATCCTTGTTGGCATCGTGACAACGTACATCCAGGGGGGCTACGGGAAGCCCTTCCAACTCCACATTAGCATCTGCCAAAGAAGGCACACAAACAAACACACAGAGAGACACACACACACATACCCCGGTGTTGAGATCAGGCTGGTGTTCATTAACACTCAGCTTCCATGTTCTGACCCACCTACAGTTCACTACTGTTTGTGTTTATGGTCATAGTTTGTGATACGTTTATTTCTTGATAACTGAAAAGAATTCTGGGTAATTACTTTTGCCAATTAATCTGACATTATTTAAACAGTGCACACACACTGTATAGAGTCTATACTAAAACAGTGTCACCTGTTATGTTAATATTATAATAAACAAATTCAGTTAGAATAGTGCGGATATTATAATAAACAAATTCAGTTAGAATAACACGGAGCTTTACCTCTAACGAACACATACGCAGAGTGTGTGTCAAAGCCAGACTTGGTGTTGACACGCAGAGTGTACAGGCCCTCGTCCTCCTTGTTGAGGTGGACCAGAGTCAGTGTGGCGCGCTCTCCGGTCCAGTGTGTGCGAACCCATTTAGAAGGCTTGAGGGGCACAGCTGGTGAAAACACACACACACACATGCTGGGATTAGTTTGTGTTACATCCAGATAACAGTTTCCCACGTCTGAACTGTTCCGCTTACAGTTTCTGTACCATACAACGTCAGGCTGGTATTTCTTCACCGTCGGATAAACGATGACGGTGCAGCCAAGACTCATTGTTTCACCCTCTCGGCCAAACGCCACCTCAAACTTGTCAATGATGGAGGTCTCAAAGGTGACGCCATATTCAGGGCAGAAACCATCTGCATTAATATTTAAAAAACACACACCACAGTTGAACTGAGTCTATTTATCCTAAGACAGAACCTAAAACATTTTAGATTCTGAATTTGAATTATTGGTATAATTTACATAATAACAAATGGACTCACGTGGTTTGGGATCGAGTGGACCTTCTTCTTCACCATCCTGGAACCCTGTGTTGATACATGTCAGTCAGTCAAACTAAAACACATCTGCTCATGGTCTAGTGGCCACAACAACATTTCCCTGAATTTACTGCTGTTAAACTTGTCGTTTGACTCTCCGCCACTTTGCTGTTGTTTACAATCTCTACTCTAAACAGTGACCTCTAGCTGGAGGAAAGGAAGGTGAAGCCAAGAAGGAGATGAGAAACAACTTACTTTTTACAACAATCGTAGCCACAGAGGAAACTTCTCCTTTTATGTTGAGCGCAGAGACACGATACTGGGCAGTGTCGAGGAAATCACAGCTGCAGTTTTCACAGGAACTTGGATCAGTATTGTTCAACAACATAGAAAATGTTTCATTTTGTGGATATATGGGAATGTGCCTTCTTCTCATTAACTCTAAGTGAGGCCTGGAGTGTGTGCTCGGTGATTACTTACTTCCTGATCTCCAGGGAGTGCACGTTGTAATTGCTCTCTGCAGCGTACTTCTCAGGGCGGGCTTTTGCATCGATGAGCACATTGTTTTTGTACCTTGAAGACAGCAGAAAGACAGCTAGTTTATTTTTATCGGTGTCCTTGGAGTCCGTAATTGCAGAGGTGTGGGTTTGAATTCATGTGGCAACTGAGAGAAATAAGACTGCTCGTGACGTGAGAGCCGCATGGAAATTTCTCTGTGACGCACTGGTAAGTGAACGCTCTAATCAGCAGCTTTTCTGCTGCTCTGACTCAGACAAGGTGGGGTCCCGTGAACTTGAAGGATCTCTTACCAAGCAATCCTGGGTTTGGGCCATCCGGCCACAGTGCAGTAGAGCTTGACAGTGTTGCCCTCCCAGATAGTCATTCCACGGGGTTTGACAATAAGCTCAGGAGGGTGTGTCAGGCTGTCAGGATTCATTTTCTTACGGAACTCTGCCCACTCATCGATCTGGGTAATATGAGAATAGGGGAAACCAAACTGTAGTTATTTACAGGACTGTTGCTAGGTAACTGATTATTATGTAGCAGTAAAATAATAATAATAATAATTTTAAGAAGTACCGTTCTGCTGAGTTCCACACGTTCTGCAGATTCCCTGATTTGTACAGTTCTGGTTTTCTTTTCGACCCTCACTTCCATGGCCTCTCTAGCCTCCCTGGCAAACAGTTGCCTCATGGCCACATAGTTAATCCCCTCTTCTGTTACATCCTCCTGCCGGGCCTCCATCAGCCTACGAACCTCGTCGTGGCTGCAATGAAATAAACCAAGAATCAGCAAAGTGATGAGTTGTACTTTCTAACCTCAGAGTTCCACTGTGGTGAATGTGTCTCTTCACTCACTTGGCTCTGAATATGGGGATGACATATCCGATAACTTCTTTGTCCTTGTCCATTGCCAGGTAGGTGCGTTTGGCTCTCTTGGGTAGTGGGCTCAGTTTAACCACCTCCTGCCCCTTCTCTGTCTTCACAGAGGTCTTCACACTTTGACAACACATCAACACCATCATCAGTATCAATTTCTACTTAAAAGTTACAGCAGACTTTACAATCAGAACAGCGGCTCTGCCGGGAATACAGTTAGTTTTAAATTAAGTTTACAGAGTTTTGTAGCGATAGCTGTGCTAATGTGGGAGGCATGACAACAGTCATCTAAAAAGGATTCTAATTAGGTTTAATCTGCTTAAACCTCCAAAAGTCCAAAGCTAGTTATTGTGTATTACTTTTCCAAACAGTAACTAGTGTGTGTCTCTGTAGAAACATGTGCTCAACATGAATATTTATAGAAGACTTTCAGAGACATAGATCCCTGAGTTTTGATGAAACACCTCTGAACCTTTACGGAAGTCATCGGTTGTTCTGTCATTTATAAATACACACTGTGGAAGCTAAAAATACATACTTGGACCAAAGTGCCATTCAGCATTTCTAAAACCTCAAAATAAACCTGCCACTTACATGAAAACACCGGCTGAAATGTTATGTTCCAGCTACTGAGGATAGATATTACTATTTCTGTCCACCTTATGGACGCATGACCCACATTCGACTATGACAAACTCCTGGGCCTTCTGTTTTCCGCTTGGTCTATAAATGGAGACCTGAACTGGCGGATATATCAGTGGGATGGAAGTCCACGTTAAATCCACGCTTTCAACCGTGATCTGTGCCAAGGCTGGTCTCTTCTTTATGGTCTTTTTTGGCCTGAAGGGATAGCTGCTTTGTTTTACTCTCTTCAATAGTGTTGAGCAGAGATCAATTGTGGGGAAGGGGCCGTAAGCACTGCGGGGACAGGCAGACGGAGAGACTTCTGCAGTGCCAAGAACTCATTCCTACTGCTGACTCACAGTCCTCGGTTCAGAAAGTCAAAGGTATAAAAAGTTTTGGTGCCGACAATAGCATTTTACACTTGACAGTTGACGCAGCTACGGAGCGTCTGATTCTGAAGCTCCGTGTAATTTGCACATTATTGACTGTATTCAATAATTTTAATGTCCACAATCACTCACAATTCCTTGACACAGAGTCGTTACAGTTGTTCTGGTGGCAGCGCCTCATGTCCTGCTTTCAGAAATAGCCCGAGGGTCCATAAATAAATCTGGCAGTCGCTCACTACAGCTGAAATTCCTGCCTTGACCTCATTCAGGAAACTTTACAACACGAAGGACAAAGACCCTCTCAACACTCCGCAGCTTAACAAGTGACACAGATTTGACGTCACAGACTCTGTTTTTAGCATTTACAGACTTTTATAAATGAACCCAGGGCTTGTCATACTAAGTAACAAAGCAGCTGAGGTTCATCAGGAACCTGGGAATGACAGCTCGAGCTAATTCATGTTATGTTCAACCACAGATTTGGATGAATTAATTATTAAGTTGAATGGATTATGACACTTAATAAACAGTTGGATCACATATTCATTATCCTCTATCACTTGTTCAGGGACACAGTGGGCCACGGGGCCGGGGGAAAAGGGGGGAGTCAGACAAGGTCAAGTCATCAGTTCATCAAACAACCAATCACAAACAACAATTCACACTCCCACTGCAGCCTATTATCGATTTAGAGTGACTAATGAAGATAATCCTGCACGTTTTGAAAAAGAACCCCCTACAGGAAAGACACGGAATCAAACCAGCAAACTGCTAATCACCAACCACTCTATGCCTTCATTCAGTTAAACACATATTTCCCTTCTTTAAGGTATAAATACTGATAAAAAAAAGTTGACTATTTTGTCATTTTGTGTTTATTTTTTTCAGTGTTGCAATTTTTGTTTTCACACCAATATTCACAAAAATACACAATACTGTAGTAAACTTCCAAACCTCTAGCATACCAGGTGAATCGACTGGATATCAACATTACAGTACTGACACGACTCTCTGGGCCTGGTCTTCAGCGTCTAAGGTTTCACTGACATGTGACGGTACTTTCTAAAAGACTGACCGTCCATTTGACAGAAATGTATTTACACCCGGCCTGAAACCATTAGCATGGCTAATTGTCATCTCTATTATAAACTCAAAGGAAGAATATTCTGAAGGGGTCAGCTGTTGGGGACAGATTATTTTTGCGGCTACACTGGAGCGTACGCTGCACAACCAAAAAAGGTCTCGTGCAACTTTAATGTCAGGAAATGTAACGTGTCCTTGTGAAAATATGAACTTCTGACACAGGGAACGCCACTTCTTCAACACACCTCAGCAGCGGCTCAGAGGTACGCAGCTAAATGACTGGAAGAGGTCGGACTGAAAGCACCCGACACTTCCTGGGTTATAAAAAGTTCTGCTTACATAAAGAGAGAGCCTCATTTATATTTCAGAGTTTTCATCAACCTCTCTTACCGACGGCTGGTGGTCTTGTAAGTCGTGTACGACTGCTGGCTAACAGATGACCTGGAGCTGAGGTAACAGCTGCTCTCATAGTGATGCTGCTGCTGCTGCTGCTGCTTCACTTGCAGATGATGCTGCTGTTGATGCTGCTGTTGATGCTGCTGCTTTCGCACCACTTGTATAGATCCTGACATCTTGAAGGCCACTGTGCCAACTTATAATGTCAGACTGTGGTTTACCAGCTCTGTAAATCAATCTTGTTGTTATTATTGTAGATGGTTTCTAGTTTGCGTAGGGTAAATAGCAGTTAGCGCAGGGTATTACATGATGGTTAGCAATTATCAGAGGTTAAAATGGGGTTTTGTTTATTCGGGTAAATTAATGGCATGGGGGACTGAGATTTTGTTTGGGGCAGTTTAGAGGTTAATTCAGGTTAAAAATCTAAAATCTACGAGGTAGTAGGCGATTGTAGTAGAGTTTCAGCGTCATCCATTTCTGATGAAACATGATTTTTGTAATTTTTCAATGTTAACTTTCACACTGAATATTTAAATGTTCATTATCTTCACAGCACAGTTTGATTTGGTTTTGTAATTGCTGATCATTTTCTTGTATAGGACCTTAATGGTGAACTCCCTCCAAAACAAAATAATTAAACCAATGTCTGTTGGCTTGTTTTGTCTTAACACCAGTTACAATAATCCAGGATAAATCAAACTGAAGATGGAGAGGTGAAACATAAGCTTGACACACGTGTATCATACAATGGACTGAGAAAACCATTGTGAAGCACATTTAAAATTATTGACTGAATTAAGCAACTATTAGTTGTCGTAGTTCAGACAACAACAAGACGGAAGCCTACGTCACCAATAACAGAAATCTTAAATAAACAATCTGTGGGTAAAAAGGCTAATATTTAAATTTATTTTACTTTAATACTGAGTGCAGCCACAGTACACTTTTTTCTTTAGTCGTAAATAAGAATAACATAAATAATGTAACATAAATACGTCTACAGGTCACACCACAGTTTTAAAGTGTGTTAAAGTAACAGCTTTAGTGTTAATTGAACAGATTAGGTCTTCTGCTGCTGTGACTTCTACTTCTACTTCTACTCCAGTCACCCGTGCAATCAAATGTACAGAGAAGCTGGAACAGAGCCTGTTAGTACAGGGGACAATCAAGTTCACAAACAAATAAAAATCACAAGTTTAAACAATCAAATGAAAAATACATAATAACTGAACAGGTCCAGACCAGGCCTCAGGCCTTACTGGTCCTTCACTTAAGACAAGAACACACAAGTTATTTCACACTGAGCTTCAAAAATAGGTTGACAATAAACAAGAATGTTCACTGCTGTGCCACTCACCACACGTACAGATCCAATAATCCACAATGGTCTTAAAATGAGCGAAAGGGCGTGATATTCCGAAAGTGGCTAAAGCAGGTCGGAAAAGCAGCAGGGTGAGGGGCAGTGGACGGAACAGCAGTCCACAGAACAAAAATAATGCTGCCACTCGGCAGAATGCACAAGACACCCTCAGGACCTTTTAAGGCTGGGGTAGATTTAAATTTAGACCATGAGACCCGGAGAAGGGCCAGGCTGCTCTGAGGAGCCGCTGAGGCCTCTGCTGCTTACAGTGTTGAGGAGGGGACATGGGCGTATCTGCTGTGCTGTGGGGGGAGGCTAAAATACTGAAGGTGAGTGACAGAGGGGCTCAGTACAAGTTTAACATTAGTCATCATTTAAAAATAAAACGAAAAATAAAAACATAAACGGTAGAAAAGTCAGTGGAGACAGCCTTTTCCTGTTAACACAGGGAACTAAAAAAAACAACAACAACAAGAGTTAAATAACATTGACTCACACATTTAATACACCAGAACATAAAAATATCCAAAACACATTTTATTTTCTACACTGTATTTTCTAGAAAGCTGCTTTTATTATTTAGCTGTTAGCTGCACTCACTCTGGCCACCTGTTAACCTTCCTAAGTTTGTTTGTTTTCAGAATAATGACCCCAAACCAATAGAGAGCAATTTTATATTGACTTCCTGTTAAGTTTTGGTCAAAGGATGTACGTAGGTAAAATAGCACAACCAAGGGTACTTACATTTATGAGTAAATGCTGCCATCTAGTGGTAAAATTGAGTAAGTGTAGCCACCATGGACAAGCGAAAGCTGCATTTGCTCTTGTACATTTGTTCATTTTTATATAAAAACCCCTAAACTATAGTAGAATTTGAGCAATATTATAACATTTATTAAATAAATTGTTTTCTAATCGTGGGCAACAATAAACATGGCCACGTACTGTTTTTCTCTTCAACTTTTCCTTGCAATGTGGACATCGTGGCTCATTTATTTACAAGAGAATGGGACATAGGTAGGAATTAGATTCGAGAAATTGATTGGGGAACTATTTAATGTATTTATACCACATATAAAAATATTAAGATGTTCTGTACGTGTAAAGCGCACTAAAAAATTAAAAATGAGTCATTGAACGACACTTACCGGCTCCATGGAACGGTCCAGATGGATGGTATCTTCCTGCTCTTCTCTGATTGGTCAGTTTGTTGATGACTAATATGATGATGCTTATGCTCAGTGTGAATGTGAACACAGGTGTGCACATCCTGTTTGTCAACAACGCTTCTATTCTGCTGGTACGTAGTGCATTTGTTCAGTTCCTCCAGTTCCCTTTAAGTCAAGGAGATTTATATTTGTAGTGTGAATGATTTTTAAAGCATCTTGTGCTCTCAGCTGAATCAGTTAAGACTGCAGAGTAGATCATTTTCAATGCGGAGTGTTCTACCACCACAGCAGTTCTTTTTGCTGAGAGGGGTAGTCACTGGTGAGAAGTCGAGATTTAAAGAACAAGATTTCGATGCATGCACGTTTTTTTTACAGAAATGTAGCATAAACGTCTATTGCATTTGCAGTAGTTTCTCGTCCCAAAATTAGCTTTATTTACTGTATTTGCATGTGGAGCAGGTACAGTAGTCTACACTGTTTACCACGTAGGATGGCAGCCATTTATATTTTTAAACAAATCAATCGTGAGTCAATGATAAATGCTAACACGTACTGTATGCCACTGTTTGGCATGGAATTGTGAGCAATGTTTTCCTTTCCTTAAGCCTCGTCATGTGGTATTTAAATTAAATGCAAAGCTATTTAAAACTGAGCCCTTAGTGTGTTTGGTCAGATGAGTTTATTTAATAATTTTTCATCATATTGTCCCAACCCTAATTTGATGCATTGTTGCCGTTTACAGACAGGGGCACACACTCATTGCAGACATGGCCAGTAAAAAGACCAAGGGAAAGAACATGAAGAAGCGTGCGCATCGCGCAACATCCAACGTTTTTGCCATGTTTGATCAGTGTCAGATTCAGGAGTTCAAGGAGGCCTTCAACATGATCGACCATAACAGGGACGGTTTCATCGACAAAGAAGATCTTCACGACATGCTGGCCTCATTAGGTACTTCACTGTCTTCCATCAAAGGCGTAAACTTTTAAAAAGTTCAAATACATTTGTAGTTATTAAGTTCCTTTCCTTTATTCTAAAATTGTTGTGTTTTTTCCAGGGAAGGATCCTACTGATGAATACCTAGATGACATGATGAATCAAGCACAAGGTCAAATCAACTTTACCATGTTTCTGACCATGTTTGGAGAAAAGCTGACCGGCACAGACCCTGAGGAAGTGATACATAACGCTTTCGCCTGCTTTGACGAGCAGGCTACAGGTGCGTTTGTCAATGTGCTAGTGATGGATGGATTGGAGTTTTAATTCTTAATATATTAGCACTTTCTTTTATATAATACTCCTATCTATTAAATATTTAAGTAAGAAATCTCAATTGAATATTTCTGTTCCATCAGTTGCCATTTAACAGAATTATTGGATTTGTTGACAGGTGTCATCCCCGAGGACTATCTGCGTGAGCTGCTCACTACGATGGGCGACAGGTTGACAGAGGAAGAAGTGGACGAACTCTTCCGTGAAGCTCCCATTGACAAGAGTGGCAACTTCAACTATGGCGTTTTCACGCGTATTTTAAAGCATGGCGCAGACGATAAATGATAGACGCTGTGGGTTTACCGTTTTTATTTATTACGGTTGATAGGATTTCACTTGTCAATATTGACTTCATGGCACTAATATTCTTCACTTTTAACCACTTTTAAACCACCACAACACACGCGCTGCACAGTCACTCTGAAAGCCTACAGTATTTGCACATCGGTGGTACAGTATTGTTAGACCGCATGAAAATTGACAAAATGGGTTTGGATGTTGTTTGATTTTACTGAATCTGTAGAAATAAAAATGATTCTGAGCTCAATAATCATGACTACTTTTCTTACATTTCCGAAATTTATTTTTAGGAACAGACAATGGACAAGATGTGGTTGTTTGAATAGTTTGCGTACATGTAGTTCAAACAATTACACGTTTCAAAGACACACAAAAATAATCCACCGGAGTCAAGAATGTGGGAATAGCTGGAAAGTGTCACTTTAGATTTGAACAGTAAAACTTTTTTTTTTCTAAAACCTGTCAAAAATTTCCACAAAGTATGCAGGTCAAATAAGTATTTCAGTTGAAGTACAGTATTAGTACTGTAACGGTGTTCATGTTGTATCAAGAGTAAATATTGTCAACCTGCATTTGAAATGTGACAATGGATTTCATACGCAGTGCCATCACACTATCAATAAATACACATAAGTTTCTGCTCCAAAGTCGAAGCTTCCTGTACATTTTGCAGCTGCTCACAGAGCAACGTAAACAAGGCTTTGTAGCTCTAGTCGGCCAAGGCAAGGTTTTTAGACTGGATCTTGGATAGATGGTTTCCTATAAAGGCTTCGAGCTTGTCGCACTGCCCCAAGAAACCCTATGACAGAAAAAGTTGCATTCTCAGTAGCAGCAAACCAAAATGTTTTGATTTAAACAGAACCAAAGATGTACCTGCACTGTTTTTACAAGTGCCTTTTTCTTCATTCTGCAGTCACTGAAGTTTTCAGGAACACTCTGGAGAAAAAAACCCAAAAAAGTATTGCTTATTTTTGTGACACCAAACAATGAGCATCTACAGCAAATTATATAATAACAATGATAATATATCACCAAGTCATCTATCTGCTCCAGAATCTTCATGAAGTGCTCTGATGCTATTTTCACTCTATGGTCCAGTTTACCCAGTGCTTCTGCCTGCAAATCTTTGGCGAGAAAACCCTGAAAAAGAAGAATCAATTGAGTGACACAGTGAAAGAAAATCGAATAAAACTACAATACTCACGTTTTTCAGTCCAATAAACTCCCGATCTATTTTCTCCAGTTTTTTAGCCGTTTGTTCCACCGACTTCTCAATTTCTTTCAGCTTTTTCAGTGCGGCCTCTTCCTCTGGACTGTTCTGTGTACAATTATAGTAATTTATTTAATATAAACGGCAAACAGACCGTCACCCAAAATAAATAAAACACACACCCGCGCCTCACCCGTTTTCCGATCATCATAAGCTTGCATCCATCTTTGATTCCATAGCTGGATAAACTCTCCTCTAAGTCTTTCAGTGACTTTCCTGATAAAAAATATCACAGTTGTCAAATCATATGGAATCAACCCGACTGTGTTGTGAGAGAAGAGACATTATCTAACCTTTAAAAATGAGTTTCTGTGACGCTGCTGGGACTCCGGTGGTTTGACAAAGAACATCTGAAAGGTCTTTAACAGTTGGACCTGTTCCGTCGTCGTGACCGGCTAATGTGAGGCTGTGCTTCGCTGACCCTGAAGAAAGGAAAATATAATTTGAATAAACAGTCTAAACTCCCCGATAATCAACTTAAACACAACGAGGTGTTTAAAAAAAAAACTCAAACTGTAACAACTGTATTTTAACGTTTGTTACACTAGTTCATAGCTCTTCCTACAGACTTACTTCGTTGACAACAAGAAACGAGCTAACAATTTCTGGGCTAACCGACACAAACCTGTAAGAGCATGCTTTTCACTGGATCTATACGACATAACGAAATTATATTTACCATGTGCAACTGTCACCGTGATTGTTTGCTGTGACATTTTTCCGTTCTGTCTTAAAACATCAGCATAAACACCTAGTATGCAGCTAAGTTGTTGCTCATTACAATGTACTTCCGGGACGAAGGTCAATAATCAAGTTAGCCGTCACGCACATTTCCGTACAACTCATTGGCAGACAACCATAAACTTCCGAGTTATGGTCCGGTTTTCAAAATAAAATGTATAAGAAAGACTCGCCATTAGTTATTTATAATAGAATGCAGTGTGTATTGTCAGCATGTGTTTATTCAATAGTAAAACTGTCAGCTTGACAGTGTCCTTCCATATTTTCAATGAACATTCAAATATCAACACACACAAAAATGCTGAAAGTCATATCCACACAATATTTTTATATAAACAAGAAAAAAGTGAATGGTAAAGTACATAAAGAATACCTTCAGGAAAATTAATGAATACAAAGGGTCAGCTACAGGGCTCTGTGGCGCAATGGATAGCGCATTGGACTTCTAAGGAATGCAGAAGAAGGAATTCAAAGGTTGTGGGTTCGAGTCCCACCAGAGTCGAGTGTTTTGAAACGCTGGACTGTTCCACACCAGTAAAGCATGTTAAAGTTGCCAGTGTAAAATAACCATCTATAGTTGAAGCACACTTAATAAAAAGTTGCCAGTGTAAAATAACCATCTACTGTATAGTTGAAGCACACTTAATAGAAACTATGTTTGTCTCACAAAGTAAACATTAGTTTGAGGTTCAGTAAAACATAATTTATTAGCATGTCTAAAATAATAAATAAAGTAATTTAGAAACAATAAATAGGGATTCTATACAGTATTAAGGAATCAAAAACAACAGTAATGTCAACACACTACTCAAATCCAAAAAAAAGTAACACTGGAGAAAAAGAGTTATAAACCTGTAACACTGGAGGCTAAATGTGAGAACTGATGGAAAACAATGTTTGTTTGTTTGTTTGTAAAGGCCACATGTAACTGTAACTGTAGTAGACAACCTAAATCCAAGTCAGCTTCAAAGTTGTAGTACTTTCAGGTCAGTTTTGTTTAAATGTACAAATGTTACTCGATTTATAAAAGTGTTTTCAGGTGAAGTGCAGTTGTTTAAATCTGTCCTTTGTTTAGGACGCAGGGATCTGTGGGAGGCCGAACTCGTCCACCAAAACACCATCCTTGAAAAACAAGAAAAAACAGAACGTTAACAACAAATAAAAGCAAATATTTAAATAAAATTAGCCATTAGCTAAAATTTTCCTAATCTGAATTATTCATTTATTAACAATTTATAAAACATCGTTTAGAGCTTATTGTCATGAAGTTAATGATTGCCCAAAAGGGGAAATCAGATTTAAACATGTTGTTCTATTTATAGTTAGCTTCCACCACTTCATCCTATTAGCAGTAGCAGAAAGAGCTGGAGCCAATTTGAACTGACATTCAGCAAAAGATCAGATCCACCCTGGAGATCCTGCCACGCCAGCACCAGAGATAACTTCTCCAGTCCATCGGCTTCATTGCATTCATTTTTAATTTCAATTATTGCAGTCACTAAGTCAAAATATTTATTTATAAAATATATATATATATTACAAATAACCATAACCATAATGTAAACACTACGATCTGTGTGGTACAGTGACATTTGTGATCTGTGGACTTCTACCTTGTTTGTCTTGCTGTCACTGGGCATTCCCTCAGGGATAGAAGGAGCAGCTGAGGCCTCGTCCAAGTACGAGGTGTCATCATCCAGCTCCAGCTCGTCGCCCAGTGCGTCAAGCTCTGAAAACACAGTTACACTGTCACTGATGCTGCTTCACTCTTCCAGACCTTTCACTCCTGAAGAATTTATATGAGAATTTAGTAACAAAAAAAAAAGTTGGACCAAATCAGGACCTGCTTCAAGCTCGTCGTCGTCTATCTCTGGAGTGCCGTAGCTGCGGCTCAGAGCCTCTTGTACCTCGTTGGCTTCCTCCATCATGTCTTCCAGTTGATCCTGTAAATCCTGAGAATCCAAATGGATGTGAATAAATGAACTGTGTGACAATGATAATTGGGAAAATAGGCCACAAAGACCATAAAGTCAAACTAATTAAATTATAGTATTAAAGATTTTAAAAACATACATCGATCTGGTCAAGTTTAACATCCTTGTAGGCCCTTTTCATTTCCTTGGCCCCAATCTTCATGGCCTCCACCTGGTGACAGAGATAATTTACAGTAATTAAAAACACAGTCATCAAAAAAGAGGTTTTGGACTAATATGAAAAAAAAGGAAAAACAAAGTTTAAAAAAAGAGAAGAACTTGGATCAACCCCGATGCTCATCAAACTGTTTGGTTCTTACTGTTGTTTTGGTGTCCTTCAGGGTCTGTATGGTGTAGTTGGCCTGCTCCATGTTAAATGACTGCTGAGCCAGCTGCTCCCGTTGACCTTCATACCTGTGCACAAACCGTGATGAATAACAACAACAGAGATTTTCTGGTGTACTTCAAACAGACGTTGGTTTACTTCAGGACTCACATTCTTTTCTGCTTCAGAACTCTCATTGCCTTCTGTTTCACTGTGTTCTGGATATAAAAGAGAATAAATACAACAGCCACTAATAATTATTACATAAAACTCAATCGCCGACAACACTTAATAACTTTGACAGGGCTCTCTACCTTCGAGGGCCCATCTCTCATCTTCTTTATCTGATCCTTGTACTTGCGCAGCTCAGCGTCCAGTCTGCTAATCTTCTTGTCGATGGACTCCGCTCGGGCGTCCACCTGAGTCAGAGAAGGGAGAGACGGCCGGTCAATGAGAGGCGTAACGAGTGGCTGCTTCAGTCCAAACACAGAGCTGCAGCTCCCTGTGGCTGTGGCTGTGTTGTCTTTAGATGAACAGGTGTTAGAGAAAGATGACGTGTGAAAGAACTGGTAGCTCAGGTTAGAGAAAGTGAATCACCTGCAATAAAGACTGACTTCAAACTGCTGAACTCCAGTACTCTGAACCTTGCAATTAAACAGGACAAAATACACTTGAATATTCTCCATAGATTATATTTTATTATTCAAATTCCCCAGGTTTGAATTATGTGCTGTCTTGCACTGAGACATGTTTTAAATCGACATTTCATTTCATCAGTTTTAATATATTTGTGACCAAAGCACATGTTCGTTTTTTTTAAATAGGATTTTACATTTTTTATGTATATAAACGTTTTTAAATATAGAACGCTTGTTGTTTTATTATTATTACTGTGAGGGTTCTAAGTTAGTACTTGTTTTATTATTATTACTGTGAGGGTTAGTATCTATATATCATAAGTACTTGTGCTGTTAAATTATAATAAAACTCATTTATTACATGTAGTTTAATTTCTTTATAAACACTAACAATATTAACAACAAGGCCACGGTGTAAACACATCCATGTTGTCTGTGAGGAACTCTTAACAGGGTGATAATCCATGTTTCTAAATGTGGGTCAGAAACGATTAACCACAGTAAAACATACCGTAGATTTTAAATAGAACCTTCTCCGTCATCTACGCAATACTTATTATATGTTTTGTGTCCGCTGTAATAAACAGTAACGGTGCTCTCTCTGTGTTGAGGTCACATAAGACCGACATAAACAACAAGCCTTGCAGGCAGTACTCACGTTTCCGATGCAGTCCGACAGGTTCGGTGGAGGCGTCTGAGGTTTTCCGCGGCCGAATATTCGATGCATTTTCCACAAGTAGTTCTTCTTCTAGCGCCCGGTAATTTAACAAATCGTTTGTATCTTTTTTTTAACAGTAAAACGCAAAAACATCAAAGGTTTACGAGGACTGCTGCTTCATGGAAGTCACCCGGAAGTAACGGTTTCGACGCAAACGGCGTTCATTGGCTGGTGTTGGCAGCGTTGACCAATCTGGGTTTAGACTGCTGCTCCCGTGCGCCCTCGTGTGGTGAGCTGAGGGAATGCAGTAGAAATGAAAAGCCATTGTCCTGTGCTGGGTCCATCCATCAGCCGCCTTTGTTAGTCCCGCACTGACTTCATCACTGTGCTGATGTTCAAACATATGGACACTTACTCAGCCGTTACAGAATTTACGTGTAATGATGGTGTGACTTTATAACATGTATGACGTCTGTCAATGTATGTCAATATAACATTTAATCACAGCCAGTGAACACCTATATGTCCAAGATACAGTATATTTACATGTGATAGATATCCTTTTTCATTTAAATCAAACTAATAATTATGTTTCTATGTTTGATGACAGACACATTGGTTAAAGATCATTTGAATTTTTACAATTTTTATATGTTTTTTATGGTCGTCCTGTGACGTTGTTTGTTTTATTTAGCAACCTAAAATCCACAATTTTACTTTGTTTACGAGGAATACATTATTTCACCAAACGCCCCCTCTTTAAAATGAATCACGCCCATTTAAATTTTTTTTTTTTTTTTTAAAGTTCAGTATTCCTTTAATGGCATTTGCATTTTGGAAAGAACAGCTTCATTTTTCATTTTTTTTTTTTTAAAGTTCAGTATTCCCTTAATGGGATTTGCATTTTGGAAGGAACAGCTTCATTTTTGCATCCTCAATCCTCAATGCATCCTGCATTGATTTGTCAGGCATGTGTTTGTGACAACTTCATATTTGAACAATGAAGCCAATTAGAGCGTCATTAGACAGGCTGTATGTAACGGCTCGCTAATGTGCCCGTCTTTGGCAGACAAAGGCAGAGAGCAGAGAAAATCCAGTAATCTTGGTCATTATGGCTGACAGCTGCATCAGCGCTGACAATCACTGACTGATTCAAACAGCCTCTCAGCTGACAGAGGATCCCTCTACTTCATCACTGCTGTCAGCTGCAGTGAAGAGACGCAGATTTGACATAATTCACTGGCCATACTGCATCACGTACAGAATAGGAAACAAAACAACCTGTCACTGTCCAAGGTTCATATAAGACTGTTTTGTTTTGTTTAGCACTGGTGATGTAATCAACATTTCCCTTTGAATTCCACTTTGGCAAACAGAACATCCAGTTCTCTCATACATACACTAAGATGGAAGATCAGCTCAGAGTCTGATTTCACAGCCCTAGGATGTTTGTTTGTGTCATCAGTTTAGTGAAAATAGCCATCATTTCAGTAAAGATTAAAGAAAAAAAGGGATTGTGGCTCATGTCGTCCTTCACCAGTGCATAAATTTCACACAAAGGAAAGGAAAAAAGAAGCAACAGGAAATGCAGGCACTTCAGCTTCACACACACGCAGTGGCTCCGTGTGCTTTCACCTGCATATCACACTGCAAGGCCACGAAAGCACAAAACCGCCTAACAAATTGTGCTCTCACCATGGAAACGCTAAGTTTATGTTAGAGTTCCATTAAGACAAACTGATGGGGAGGGGGAAAACCAGCATAACTGTGAAGGCAGATCAGAACCTAAAGGTCTCATCGTGAGTTTTTTTTTTTCCAGACCTACACAACATCAAACGAGGAGAAAAACACTTCTTCTAAAAACCACTTGCTTTAAAGTCAAGGATTCTCGCCATTTTTCAACAGCTTTATTGTGATGGAGTTTCACATGTTGGCAGCGCGGCCTGACATTCAAGAGAAAAGCGAATAGAAAATGTACAACACAGCATATAATCCAGTATATACAGCGGGGTCAGACACAAGCAGAAAAACAATACCATTCAGGAAAATCACAACTGCTGTGGCGCCCCCTGATGACGAGATCAGAGAAAAAAATGTTTTTCTTCTTCTTTTGTAGAGTCAAATAAATGAATTCTGAACTAAAAAGCATACGGTAGCCCAGTGAAATAGTCCGCCAAGTGGCCAGCAGAAACACTGAATGCAGTAATAACCTCCAGCAGCAAGCAGGATATACTTTTATACTCCAAAGAAGAAGGACCAGAAGCACAAACACAAGGCAGAAAACACAAGTTTACTACAACCATCATACATTATTAGAGTTTTTATTTACAGTTTATTCTGCAGTGTAGGAATAATCCTAACTAGGCTTTACTTTTTTTTATTACGACACATAATGAAGAGCAACAGAATTTTATTTTTATGTGAAAAATGTTTTTGTTATTTATCAACAGAATACAGTGAAAACCCATTGTTGACAAGAATAAAAGAAACTATAAAATGTCAACGACGGCGTCTTCAAACTCACCACAGACAAAGGAACTGGAACGTCACTTGTAAACAACTGTAAAATGGAACTTTAAAGGTTGACAGAAACAGACGATTCAGGTCGCATCAAGCGTCCCTCAGCTCCTGTGGTGGATTTTAGAGGGCGACCCCTGAGAGGGTTTTTAGTCTTTTATTTGAGACGTGAGCCGCAGCTACAGAATCATCACTGTTGTTGTTATTGTTGTTGTACAAACACAGACACAAATAAACACGGCCACGTTTGTCTTCTGCCTTTGACCCATCAACCGCCAGCCTGTGGAGCAGGAAAGGAAATTGGTGCTTGCTCCGCACACTAGGCCGTGGTCTGTCTGCTCTTTGCAGAGGTTGACCTCTGACCTCTGACCTGATCTGATCTTTAAAACCAACGATAACGTGGAGGCTGCGTAGGTTTTTTTACATTCTTATTCAGTCATCTTTTACAGCTTAATTCTTTTCAGGGTCGTGGTGGGTGTCAAAGGTCAAAGGTCACGTAGAGCCTAAAAACCATCTAGTCTCACATGTAATCCTGCACCACAGAGGATCAAACAGTGAGCTTCTTGCTGTAAGGCAAGAGCACTGACCACTCCTCCAGCGTGTGGCTTTTATCCTCTCATTATAAAGGTCAATTGATTCTAATGGTGGCTGTATTATGATTTTAAACTTGGTGATAAGTGTGGATGTTAAGATAAAAGGTCAGGATGAAGTGCACAGCGTCACACACCGCCCATTCATTTTGGTCTAATAATAGGATTAGTTCTTAATGATGTTGAGTAAACACCACGCGTCTTATTTTCAGTCAGTGCTGTTGAATTATCAGACGTGTATGAATAATTACCAGGTTTATCTGGGGCTGTTAAATGGCAGTGGTGATTTGAGTCAAGCCCAGGTCGTTGGAGTCCTCCCAGCCCTGGTAGCGCAGAGAGGACATTTCCACGGCTAGTCATACGGGCCTGGCCCGCCTCGCCCCTCCCTGACCGTCTGGGGGACACGAGTGGTCCCTGAGGGTGCTTCGGACCCGACTCACCCCGTGGCAGTCTCCGTGTCCTCGAGTACCCGGGCAACAGAAGTCCCTGAAACACCTCTTGAAGTTCTCATCCAGAAAGGCATAGAGAATGGGGTTGAGGCTGCTGTTGGTGTAGCCCAAGGCCACACAGAAGAAATACGCCGCCATGACCGCCGTGGTCTCCGGCACGTTGGAGTGCAGCGCCTTGACCAGGATGAAGATGTGGATGGGCGTCCAGCACACCACGAAGACGGCGACGACCACAAGCACCAGGCGCGTGATCCGCCTGAGGTTGCGGTCCTTCTCGCGAGAGCCGGACAGGAGGCGCACGCTCTTCAGTCGCAGAACCATCAGCGTGTAGCAGACAGTGATGATGATGACAGGTATCACGAACGCAAAGATGAAGACGCAGATTTTCATCAGCGTGTCCCAGTACATGTAGGGTTCTGGGAACTGTAGGGCGCACTCTGTAGTCCCTGTGATGTACAGTCAGAGGTCAAAGGTTAAAACTATTATTTTTTAAATACCACTTTAACATTGAATTATTACATAAAGCATTTAATGATGAAATACAACATGAGTGATTTATGTATAAATTAGGGTGTTCACTTCTTGTTGAACCACGTTTGAAGTTGCACAGTCACAGAGCTAAACAGCAGGGGGCGCCCCAAAAGTTAATCACAGTAATGTGCAGGTAGAATAAACAATAGATGAAAGCCTATCTCTTCTATGGCCTTTGCCATTCATATTACGTACAGTGTGGAAAAGCTGCAGCGCTGTGATTGGCTGAACTCTCATCAGCAGGAGACGTGTACGCAACTGGACAATACAAGGTCTAAAATGTTGTGTTTTCTAGTCAATCTTTGTTAAAAATCAGGAGGAAAATACCAGCTAACTACCAGCTA